CTAGTACGCGTTAATTCTTTTTTGCATGCTAGCGACTGGCGAATTTAACATTGCGATGTCCTAGGAAGTGTCAATTGTCCCCCGTTGCATCCCTTTGGCTCTAGTTCCGAACCAGTTCTAAATTCGACAGATAAGATCTAGTTCGTTTTGCATCCCTTTTTCTATAGTTCCGAACCAGTTCCTAATTTGACAGATGAGATCTAGTTCGTTCTGCACCCCTTTTCTTTAGTTCCAAACCAGTTCCTAATTCGACAGATGAGATCTAGTGCGATCTGCATCCATTTTTTATAGTTCCCAATCTGTTATAATTTCGTCACCTTAGATCTACATTTCTAATCAGGCTTGTCGAAACATTTGACTTCTATATTAAATACGATCGGTTGAATGAAGGACAATACAATCACAAATGTTTAAACGCATTTATTAAAAATTTATAAACCACATTAGTAGTAGTAGTAGTATTAAACTTAAGTAGTAAGTAAAAAACAAAAGTGCGTTCTGCTTGAAAGTAAAAATATTAGTTCACTTTGTCTTACTTGTCTAAATTTAAGCATATTGATTTTTAAGTAAATTCAGTTCTTTTTAAACTTATATGTATATGAAGTACTTCGAAAGTTTTTGTCGTACTTAATTTAAATAAGATATACAGTCAGTCAATAAAGTTTAGGTACAGTGAAGTTTTTACAATACCGGCAACTATATTTTAAACATTTTATTTTTCCCTAATTTTTTATAAAAAATATTGTTACTTCTACACCAAAAACCCTAAAAATCAGAGTTCCAAACCTTATGCAAAATTAAAGAAAACTCTGCAAATTTCCATCCAAATTTTGCAATTTACACTCTTTAGAAAAAAGTTAAGTACTCAGTTATTAGCCCATTCAATTTTAATATAACAAAGTGCAAGCTTAAGGTAGCTAGGACTTACCATTGATATTTAGCAATTTTTTTTTTGTTGTTTGGTAAGTCCTAGCTCCCTCACACTTGCACTTCTGATTTGCTTGACCTTGGTTTGGCGGTCCAAACAGGAATCTTTATTTACGGTTGATGGATAGCTCGTTTCCAACGGATGGTGGCAAGAAAGTGGCTGACCTACGTGTAATGATTTTGTATTACCGGCTTATGGTGACTCAATTGCTGTCAAATGAATAGTCCCGATTTTATGCTCACAACTTCTTTCTTCTACGCAACAACATGGCTGGGGATTTGTGGGAAGGAATATGACGGCACCTTTTGTCTCTATTAATTTCCACTGAGGGGTGAGTATCGACTCCCCGAATGCCGCCAGCTTTTAATACCAGCTTTTAATCCACTTTAATTACTTGGTTGTAATTCCGTTCTTGCGAGGGCTGATGAGTGTGGTTCGCTCCGTGTCCAATTCCAAAAAGAAATATATTTTTTCTAGTCTGGTGGTATGTGACCACCGATTCTTTTATCGTATGTCAGTGTGGGCGTTTTCATAGTGGCCATGTCAATTCGTGTCTATACTGAATTTACATGCCCCCCCCCCACATTTTGAAGTTTAGCTTTGACAGTTTTGTTATGTTTACATTTCTCATAATAATAATCTTATGTCTATTATTTGGCTAATAAAAATAATAGACACTTCATTATACTAAAATTGAATGGGCTAAAAAACTTTTTCTAGAGAGCGTAAATAGAAAGTGAATTATTTTAATGAAATTTTGCAGAATTTTCTTAAATTTTGCACAAGGTTTGGAACTCTGATTTTTGGGGATTTTGTTGTAGAATTGACCATATTTTTATAAAAAATTACCGAAAACTAAAATACTTAAAAAATAGTTGCCCGTATTGTAAAAAATTCGTTGTACCTAAACTTTATTGACTGACTGTATTAAGGTAGCTGTGCTGGATTGCATAAAAAAATTAATTTGTCTTTTCTTAAAAAAAGGTAGCTCTGGTGGCTTGCATTTTTAAATAAATTTAGTGAGAAAGTGATAATTATTTTGACACTTTTTTTTAAATGCCTCTTTTTCTGCAACTGCATTACCTTTCTCAATTGTCCTTCAGAATCTTTGCCTTTGTTTTTGGAATCACTAAGTATAATAATTATTAAGCAACTCAAAAACTATACCAGCGTGATTACCGACGTATCCTTTTGAGAGGTAGCCGCACCCTTATTCGATAGTTCCGAACTAGTTCTAAATTCGACAAATAAGATCATGATCGTTCTGCATCCATTTTTCTATAGTCCCGAACCATTTCTAAATTCGTCACTTTAGATATAGTGAAAAAAACCGAAAAAAATTCGTTTTTAAAAATTACCACTTTTCGCCGATTTTGGACTAGTTACTTTTTGGCGATAAAGACCTAGTACGGAACTAGAAATTTGATTCCCTAGTCCGCGGTTTCCCTACAGAGAAACTTAAGTAGTAAGTAAAAAAGAAAAGTGCGTTCTGCTTAAAAGTAAAAACATTAGTTCACTTTTTATTACTTGTCTAAATTTAAGCATATTGATTTTTAAGTAAATTCAGTTCTTTTTAAGCTTATATGTATATGAAGTACTTCGAACGTTTTTGTCGTACTTAACTTAAATAAGATATACAGTCGGTCAATAAAGTTTAGATACGGCGAAGTTTTTACAATACCGGCAACTATTTTTTTAAAATTCTAGTTTTCTTTAATTTTTTTAAAAATATGGTTAATTCTACACCAAAAACCCCAAATATCAGAGTTCCAAACCTTATGCAAAATTTAAGAAAACTCTGCAAATTTCCATCCAAATATTGCAATTTGCACTCCTTAGAAAGAAGTTAAGTTATTTAGCAATTTTTTTATGTTGTTTGGTAAGTCCTAGCTTCCTCATACTTGCATTTCATTATACTAAAATTGAATGGGCTAAAAGACTGCAAACTCAACTTTTTTCTAGAGAGCTTAAATAGAAAGTGAATTATTTTAACGAAACTTTGCAGGATTTTCTTAAATTTTGCACAAGGTTTAGATTTCTGGTTTTTGGGGATTTTGTTGTAGAATTTACCATATTTTTATAAATAAATAGTTGCCCGTATTATAAAAGATTCGTTATACCTAAACTTTATTGACAGACTGTATTAAGGTAGCTGTACTAGGTTGCATAAAAAAAATAATTTGTCTCTTATTAAAAAAAGGCAGCGCTGGTTTTAAAATAAATTTAGTGAGAAAGTGGTAACAAATGCCTCTGCATTGCCTTTCTCAATTGTCATTCAGGATCTTGGCCTTTGTTTATGGAATGACTAAGTATAATGATTATTAAGCAACTCAAAAACCATACCAGCGTGATTACCGACGTACAGTTTTGAGAGGTAGCCGCGCCCTTATAAAAGGAATAAGACCCAAACATTTCAGGTCAAAATAACAGTAGGTTGCGTCTGTATGGCCTTTTCAATTTTATAAATTATCATTATTTTTAAGTGGAAAAATAAAACACAAAATTAATGATAATCTCTGCG